GGATAGTGATATGGTTTATAGGGAATCCCCACCAAGTTATTACTCTTTCTCACATATTGTATATTAATATGGTTTATAGGGAATCCCCACATTGTTTTTAAACTTTCTCACATATTGGATGATGATATGGTTTATAAGTAATCCCCACAATGCTGCTACACATTCTCACAGATAGGATAGTGATGTGGTTTATAGGGAACCCCACAATGTTTTTATACTTTCTTACAGATTGGATGATGATATGGTTTATAAGTAATCCCCACAATGCTGCTACACATTCTCACAGATAGGATAGTGATATGGTTTTAGAGGGAATTCCCACAATGTTGTTACACTTTCTCACCGATTGGATAGTGAAATGGTTGATAGGGAACCCCAACAATATTTTTACTGTTTCTCACAGATTGGATAGCGATATGGTTTATAGGGAATCCCCGCTATGTTTGTACACTTTCTCACAGATTGGAAAATGGTATTGTGTTCAACCCAACACGTATTGGACAGTGATGTGGTTTATAGGGAATCTCCACGACGTTGCTACACTTTTTCACAGATTAGAAAGTAATATGGTTTATAGGAAATCCCCCCAATGCTATTACACTTTCTCACAGATTGGACAGCGATATAGTTTATAGGGAATTCTCACAATGTTTTTACACTTTCTGAAAGATTGGATAAGTCTATGGTTTATAGGGAATCATCACAATGGTATTACACTTTCATACAGATTCTTTAGTGATATGGTTTATAGGGAATCCCCACAATGTTGCTACACTTTCTCTCTGATTTGACAGTGATAATTTTACAGGGAATCCCCGCAATGCTACTACATTTTCTCACAGATTGGAGCCAAGTATTAAACAAAGCGTAGCTGATTCGAGTCATTTGGCTACATATATAACAAATATTGTACATGCGCATACAGCGTACCTGAAATCGACATTGATTTTGTGGAAAACTCGCACACATCTTAAACCTTCGTGTGCATACGCTTCACTGATGAAGGTGACAGTGTACATATAGTTCTAGTCATCGACACGTCACATAGAAAATTTTATTGGTTGTGTGAAAAAAAAAGACTTTTCATAAACCATACTTACCAACCCGAAGAAATGTTTAGAAAATTACCCATTATATTATTTGCATCCCACTGAACATTAATGTTGATTTACAATTTATAGTGATAAGTTCAAGTATATAGCACAAAAACATCAGTGATAACTATAAAGCTTTCAAAGTAATTGTATAGGTCACTTAATTACACCTGGTCGGGCAGTACTGCTGTACTATTAAACAGGAGACACAATGCTTGTTTACGGAAACGAAACACGGATTTTTTTTTTAACTCGTTTTCACTTTTGTGGGATGTCTATTTAGAAAACATTCAACCAGTACCTTTTTATACCTTTGAACAGTAAGGCGTACGCACACAAAGGTGTAAAATGTGTACGAGTTGTCCACAAAATCGATGTCGATTTCGGCTACGCTGCAAGCGTATATACAATAGTTGTTATTTTTGTACCAAATTGACTCGATTCAGCTACGCTTTGTTTAATACTTGATCATAGATGTGCGAGAGTCTTTTAGCCATCACAGACCATGCCACACAAAAAAAAACCATGCGATTGACTGGGATAACTCTAAAGTTTTGGACAAAGAGAGAGCAATCTGTTCAAGCGGCAGATGAAGGAAGCCATCTGGATACGTCGCAATGGGCCAGTTCTCAATCGAGACGAGGGGGTCAAATACTCTTGCACATCCATCACCAAGTTAAATATTGATATACCGACATGATTTGTATATCATTCTGATCAGAAATGATTCTTGATTTTGATACACTGTAAAGGAAGATAACAAAATTGATTTTATAAATAAAAGTGACATTGATGGAACATCAATACTTTCATAATATTGCTGATTGAAGCATTCATTCATTTTAAAATAGTCGACAAGATACGTATTTTAATTGAATGACTTCCATATAAATTTTATTCGACTATTTACTGAACATGCCATTGCCTAAAAGTAAAATACAACCGGAGCGCCAAAGAGAAAATGAGGATACAAGTACGTATGTGGCATTTCCAGGAAATTGTTAACACCAGAGTAAAATATGTTGTAAAATAAATCCCATTCATATATTTTTCAGCGTTCGCCTTTCTTTAAATATAAGGCTAACATATTGTAGTAATGGTAGTGTAAAGATTAGAAAAGTCGAATGTTCTAAAAAAAAAATTAGGTTTAAATAAAACATTTTTTTCACATGATCAAAAACACTCTTTTGGGTTATTCGAGCTAAGGTCGTCCATGTCTAGGCCAATTACGGGTAGGTTTCGATAAAGTCCTCCAAAATTTGGACCGTATTTAATATAGAATGGTTTACATTAAATGTACTACATAATAGTCAGAAAACTATCTGCTGTAGCCGAAAGTTGTTTTCCTTTGAATAAAATACGTTTATTTGCAAAAGATCTTCATTATTTGAACAAGGAAACAAAGGGACAAAAGTCTGAAGTATCAGGTTTGGTTGTCTTAAGTTATATTGCATTTCTTGAATTCAATATTCGATCAAATTTACAGACTGGTGCTTGATTACTATTCATTTCGGACGAAAGTACCATGCAAAGAGTACTGCATTAACAGTGTTCGTTAACACTACGGATGACGCTTTCAAGCATTTATTTTGTTCTTGAAAATCCGTTTATTGTATTTCCTGCCTGAAGGGCAAGTAAGGTTTTTTACTGTGGTAAAGTGTCCGCAATTTGGGCCGAATAGGGAAAATAAGGTTAATTTATAAAAATGTACTCCTTTAGTACAGGTAAAGAAATTGTGACTTGTTTGTTATGGAGCACCCTTTGACAAAGGGGAATTCAAACATTACATAAACGGATGGTGCTTCCTCCTGGGACAAAGGTACATGATCTATGCGGGAATGTCAATAAGGGGAAATATATGTACATCTATAAAATCCTACACCTTGAATTTCGTAAAGGGATTTTTTACCCTCAATCCGGGAGCAAATTTTGCCTATGTGGATTGTATGAACGTTATATGAACAGAGAAATAATCGGTCTTTTTTTTAAAAAAAAAATACAACTGCTAGAGTGGTTATTAACGGTTGTAACCTTATTTGGCCAGGTGGATACTTTGGCCAAATGGATTCAGTGTATTAAGTATTAAGTATTAAGTGGGGAATTTGCAATCACCTTCTCTCTGGGCAGAACAGAGAGCTCAATATGGAATTATAAGTGTGGCTTTCATAAAGACAGAGGGATGAGCCCAAGAGGTAGGAAATATAGGTAAATCTATAAAATTTACTTCGAAAAATAGGAATTTTGTTTTTTTATTAGTCTGTAGAATATTTAGGTCACAGGGACTTATTTTTGCATATAGAGAATAATTGATCCTCTAAATGGCAGATGGGTGGTCCAAATAAGGGAAATATAAATAACTTGTATAGCTAATTATAAAGCTAGTATGGGTATATACATACTGTTTAGCAAGTAGAGTGTCGAGGGCAACTATGCCAAATAGACGGTTTTGATACAGTCATTATGTTTTAAAAAAAGAATTTTCTGAATGCAAGCTTTTGTGTACCGACATACATGTCTTACAGAGACTGCATCTTGAAACACAGTAGCCGTAAACGCTAGTAATAATTTGAAATAGTCATGTTTATTCATAGATGTCAATCTTCATTCTTTTTACAAGCACATGTACAATGGGTTACAGTATCTCATCTGCGTACAGTAATATAAACTCGTTACTTCAGCTCTGTGTCTCAATTTTCCATATGAGTAATGTAAGCGTTGCGTCTCATTATCTGTATCAAAACCGTCTTTTTGGCATAGTTGACTTCGGCACTCTACTTGCTAAACAGTATGACCTGTTCCTCCTGGTGTTCAAGTAATGCTCACTTTGTCACACTATCTTTCAGTTTAAATTCAATTATACCCCATAAGTTTCATCCTTTATTTGATTAAAAAACCCTTTAAAGACCTCTTTTTTTTTGCAGCTTTGAATGTCTTTGAGACCTTTATATGATAGTTTATACGTTTCTGCTCATTTTCAGTACCCTGTTAGAAAACGACAAAATATCCCTTTTTTAAATTCATGACGGTACAGTAAACGCTTACCCTTCTGGAACAAAATTGTTTCATATCTCGGTTTTTCTGTGTTTCATGACTGTCTTTTTTTTTAACTGATTCTCCTTTCAACTTTTAGCGTTTTTAGTTTTGTGTAAGTGTTGTGACGAAAAGTTATATTTTAACTATATATTTTAGTAAGTATAATTGCAGTTCCTGTTGTTTGTGTGTGTAGGTGTTCCAAAAGATAGCAGTTCTGTTGATCCAACCTCTGAGAGTTCCACTGAAAGCCCTCACGCGGAGATGTCATCTCTTGTACGTCTTTGAAATTACACTTACTTTTTATTTAATTAATGGCCATATATATCTTAGTGTTGAATAATTTGACTAAGCGATTAAGCATTAATTTTCTACTGATACATGTTTATGCACTTTGTATATGTGGAGATGCATGATACATGCTGTCATCTGAAATTTCACATGTTCGAATTTGACGAGATCATGTTATCATTGATGTCATATGAAGCACAGATAAAATGTTAAATCTATCTCAGCACTTGATTTTATCTGTTGTTTTTATGAAACCTGACTATCCTTTTTCTTTCGTATTTGCTTGATTCATGCCGTTATATCTTACAACTATTTCTTTGTTTTAGAAGGAAAAGCTTCATATGGCTTTGGTAAGTCCTATTATAAACCTCAAAAACGTCTAAGGAATTATGTATATTTACGTTGTCGTTTTGATTGTAGTTATGGTTATTTCTTCTAATCAACATTAAATTGGAGACGACGCTGTAGATTCTTATTTCTAAAACACATTTAAATTCTATTTTCGACAATACATGATGGAATTACTCTTTACATCTAAGTTCTGTTGGTCTCGAGAACATTTCGATTTTGACTTTATATTTCCACGCTTTTTAAGGTCACCTCAGCCAGATGTTTTGAAATTATTTTCGAGTTATGTTAACGTATTGGTGCTACCTTTTTAAAAATATTCTATTTTACTTACTTGGAATTGTAACTGAAGCCATTGTTTAAAGTATAATATATAAATGTATTTAAGATGTTTAGTTGCATACTTTCTGTCTAATATCAGTGTATTTCTTAGTTTTGAATCATATGAATAGGCAAGAAAGCATTTGTTCTCGATATAAACATGTACATTTTCTATGCATATATGGAGATGATGGGATACGTGCACTGACAGATTGCACTTGTATATTGGATATGTTTCATGGTGGCCTTAGCAGAAATCTTATTCATTAAAATTTTCATTCGTGTAAGACAGAAATTATTTTAAAACTTGGTGATAAGATAATTGGCGATCTGCCATAAGCCTAAAGTGTCTAGGAAGACACCTTAAAACATCAATTGCCTTTCAGTGCTTTCAAAAGCTATTCCTTGTCAGTGAGAATCGGAATGCAAAGGCATAAGGCATTGTTTGCAACAATTATGTTTCTCTTTATAATTCTGTTAAATTTACGCAATTTAATTGCTGACTACGAAATCCTTCAATTGATATTCCGCTAAATTAACCCTTTATACGGTTTATAGCCTCAAATCATTTACATCAAGTAAGTCAAATATAAAACATGGGACACATTTACCAAATTATATACACACCACACCCCTGCCAATGTTAGACATGATTCAAAAGCTGTACGTTCCTATATTAAAGCTCAATAAATAGCTCGGCTCCGACCTATTGTGGCATCAAAGCAAAGTCTCTGCTTAAATCTAGTTTATTTTGTTTTCAAAATCCGTACACAAAAAATAGTATACTTTTTCTGATATAATATGTGCTTCCTTACTTCGTATTGTAAGTGATCATTCTTCTTCACAAGGTGATTTTAACTCTGCTAGAATGGAATGTGGCTGGAATTTATTTGGACGGTTCACTTGAAATATATCCACAAGCATATTTTTTTCAGTCAAAAGGTTTATCTTATTATACAAGTTTTAACCTTTTCCTTTCACCTTTTCACTTTTTCTGTTAATATAGGCACCCAAAAGAAACGTTACATTATTGTATTGATAGTATTTGATTAATGAATTGAAAACAATGCTGTAAATTCACACTGTCCAAGTCGACATCAACGTGTGTTGTATATTTTTTTAAACTTCAATTTCATTTCAATGTCTCCATGAAACTACGTTACTAGTATTTATTAAGAGTACGTAATAGATAAGGTTAAAGAATTAATAACGCATGAGCGAACCCTTTTGGTTGACAACAGCCTGGCAACAACGAAGCGATGAGTCGGTTTATACACCTCATCGGGATCCTCCGCCACCCTTCCTGTAAGGCATTTGACACCATGATTAGAACAAAATGTGGTAACGTTGAGCGTTCAGGCAACCGCTGATGATCACAAGGCTTTGTGTCCATTACCCGATATCCCACCTCACACCATGACGCTTCCAACGCCAAACGATTGTGACATAACGTGCAGACGTCCTGTTAACGATATCCACGCCTACAAAACACTTGCGTTCTGCCATCTAGATGATTTGGTGTCATTGGCGTAGAGATCATCTTAATATTGTCGTATCCACGCTGAGCGATTATGGATATGACATCGGTTCAATCGGGGTACACGATACGACTGGCAGTAACGTAGCCCTACCTAGGCCAACTGTCGGATAACAGTTTATGTAATGTAAAAGGGGCGGGTTCGCAGAGGGTTTGTATCCGTTATCACTCTGTTAAATTCGTTTCGTGATCGTATAGTTTTTGGTAATGGTAGCGAGTCGACAACCTGCAGCCCTCTCTAGACCTCACATCTTCGTCAGGTTACAGACCTGTTTTTACTACAGGTTCGAACACTGGATGTAGTGGTAATACAAGCAATCGATTCAATAACTCAACAAGGTGTTTCAAAAATACAGATAACTTTTTGTTTACAAGACAGAATGAATATGTATGACAAGTTTAACAAATACAAAGCATCGCATTAGTCCTTAACAATGACAACTAATGTTAAGAAACTCCATCTTTACGTATGTAGAGTGATGGCCTATCCTACCTAACATTACTACCAGTACACTACGACCATGTGTTCATAGCTCCCTATAGATCTACAGCGAGCCACCATGTATCGATGCCTAAGCCCGGAGCCCCTGACTATCCCTACATACATGTACTGTAGTTCCTAAAGCACTCTATATCCTAGGAACGATAACCTCATGGTATTGGTACTGTTAGCAGCACCTCAGCCCATGTTTTGCATTGTTAACAGCGCATGAGTCGGTTCACCAACCCTGTCAAGACACTGATCCCCGCCCGGACCCGCTGTTTTATAACCCTGCTCCCCCCACAAATAGCCTCGAAGATGAGTGACCAACTGTTAATCTCGAACCCAGTCTCACCATCTAAAAGCATGTAAGCGAGAAGCGGGAGCCTTTTCTTGTTATTACTATCATCCACTTTAGGCCGTCTCAAAAGTGTAAACACACAGATTTCAGCATCGGTATCGTAGCAGCTGATCGCTAGGAATCCTACACTGAACGAAAAGCCCTACCCTAAATAAGAGTGAATAACACAGAAATTAACAGAGGCCTGTCTGTAAATCATACACAGCAATTATACTTAACAAAGTAATACAAACGTGAGAAGTAAACAACCTAACTTCCTACAGTAATAATGCGGCGGTGGTTGTGGATATTGGAAGCAGAACCTGCCGTCGTTAATGTCTGATAACGCAGATGTTGTGAGCAGATATACCTATCCTGTCTACGTGACGTAATGCGTGGCCTACCAAACCTTGGGCGATCGGCCGTCTGATTCATGGCTGTAAACCTGCCCCAAAGCTTGGATAGATATTGTTATAATGGTCAAACCAAACCAACCGGAGACCACAGTGTACCTATCTCCACCCTTTCAACCTTGTCCATGGCCATGACTGATTTGGCTAAGACAACAAAATACAACTGTGTTAATAATAATAATAATATTTATTCGGTAAAAGCATGATACAGGTACAAATATCACATATGATCACAGATTTCAATTGCATAATAATCACAGATTTATCACAGTATTTAGCTTATCACATCAAAGTTAATATCACAAATTTTGGAGCACTATAATTACAATGTATCTGTTTGACTAAGCTTTAACCTAGGATATCCCATGAAAGCTGGGTGGCAGCTTATTTCCAATGGGGTCCTCTAGTATAGATCTTAATTACTTAGATAACAAAAGGTCCTAAGGATTTGACCTTATAATATGAATATAAGATGGTATAATTTCTCGTAATAATATATATATGAATAGAATAAGTTGTAATTGGTCAAATATGATGATG